ACCAATCACGTTCTTGCTTGATTTGCGGGACCAGCGTTGCAGTCTGGAAGAAAAGCAATGTGGAGCAGCACCTCACCGCTTCATAAGGAGTTTAACCTTTCCATCTGGCAGAATCTACACAACACATCAGCCCCATTGAACAGCCTATCATGCCAGCCTATACAACACATGAGGGGCAGAGTTTTACTCTGTGTGTTGCAACTTGCATATGTATTGCACTTGACGCACACACACGCATGGCGTAATTTCCACCTGGGACAGGGGGGAAATGTCCCCCGCTCTTTTCGAAATCCCGTTTGTGTCCCCCCACTTTACAAATATGTTTATTATTATTTTTTAACGCAAGCCGTCATCGCCACGGAGGAGCACACAGCCTCTGTGAGCGAGCGAGACAGAGGGAGAGAGAGAGAGCGAGTGAGAGAGCTAGGGAGGGAGAGAGAGAGAGAGAGGGGGAGAGAGAGCGAGCGAGAGAGCTAGGGAGGGAGGGAGAGAGAGAGAGGGGGAGAGAGAGAGAGAGCGAGAGAGCTAGGGAGAGCACACCTTTATCTATTTAATATAGATAAAGTAAGAAATCATTCCAATGTGTACTATAGGACAGTAAAAAAAACAAAAAACAGTTTGAAAGGGGAGTGATTAATAAAATATGCATAAATAAAAAGAAAGAATGCAGACTAGGTAACATAAGATAAGAATAATCCAGTTTAAATGATTTGTTATTGGCTGTGATCATATTCTAAAGATGTTTGGATTATTGAAAAGTATACAGCTCCCTTTCATCTCAGTGTTGAGAGCTGTATCCATAAATTAATGTTGTGCTCAAAGTGCTCCAGATTGATGCTTTTCACTTCAACATTTAAAAATAATCTTCCCGGGGGTGCATGCCCCCGGACCCCCCTAGAGGAGGTGAGGCCCGTCCACCCCCAAATAAAGCAGGTTAAAATAATGAAATTGCATACATGTTCTTTTAGTAAACACTGAAAGCGGTCCCACAGACCCAAACAGCACACAAAGGTTAAAGGTAAGCATATCATATTGTTAAAATGTGCTAAATATATACACTGCAAAAAACAAAAAAAAGAGGAGTAAAAGTAGCCCCCGACTTGTTTTATTTTTTTAAAGTAGCCCTCACCCTAAAAAAGGTTGGTGACCCCTGCTCTAATGCAACATTACATGCGCAAAGCCCCCACCTTTTTCTTTCACAATGAGTGAATGTGTGGGGGACTCCCCCTTCGATTATATTGGCTCTAATGGTCAGAAAGAGGTGTCAACCATCAAAATCGACCAATGGGTTCCAGAGATATATAAAAAAAAAAAGTGTTTTTGGCTAAACCTCTCTAAAAAGGTAAAATGTCACTTGTTTTGCATCAATCTTGATACAGGGTACTTATTATATGTTGTACTTTGGATTCCTAAAGCTTTTAGTCTACCATCCCATCATTCAAGGGTGGTTTTCACTATAAGTAATGGGGTTTTTTTAGGCGGAGGTAAGAATTTACCTTTTTTTTTACCATGTTCCATCTGAATTTATTCTGACTGAGAAAAATCTATATTGATTCTGACACTTCTACATCCAACTCACAGATGTAACCTTGCTTTGATAAAAGAAATTATTCATATAACCCTTTTTAAGTTAAGTTGTAGTCATTTGTTTTGGGCATGTCATTTTCGAGCCTGAAACATGAAAAACAGGCTTGGTGCTTAACAGGTTAACAGTTTATGATATCACTGCCCCATCTAAGACATGAGTGGATCTGACTTTAATTGCATTTGAGTGTTTCTTCAACTTAACGTGTTGCTTAAAATAATACTTCTGCATGACAATGTAAGTGTTGCACGGCCAGATACGGCTCGAGAAGCTGACATATATGATATATTATGATATTATATGATCGATGATGTGATTGATGATGTGATATGAATGATAAGTGCGACACGTTGGCGTCTTCCCTGCATACGGCAGTTTAAACTGTATTTCCTTTATCCTGTAATATGAATTGATAGCTTTAAACTCCGCACACTGAGCTCTGATTGGTCAGCAGGCAGTGCTTTCACTGAGTTGATCTCTTATCTGGAACATAACCTGCTCCGGAGCAGGTTAGGTGTTCAGCATAAGTTACCATGGAGATCTACCCCGGTAAGAAGTGAACCAGCGTCGTAGGACCGGAAACCCAGAGTTAACCCTGAAGTTACCTCACTAACCGAAAATCCTGCTTCGTAGTACAGGCCACTGGTCTATGTGATTTATCTCACCAGCGACCCCAGCTCTGTACAGCTGAATTATTCAGGAAGCATACGTCAGCCCTGGGGAGTCCCCAGAGCCTCTCACATGAAGCACACATCTGGATTCAGAGTCTGCTGTAGATACAACCAAATACTTTCCTTCTGTTACGCTTTGTGTCTGTCATCATCACACAGGGATGCCTGGAAACCAGCAGTATTCAGCCCCATTAGTCAGCGGTTGTTTACCACGCACAGTCCTTCTCCAATGCTAATCACCAGTGAAAATAATTAGAGTGAAATTCCTCAGACTGTTCCAAACCTTCCTGGTCCGTGTGGAGCTTGTAAATTCAACAAGGTATACACTAAAGTAAAGAAACGCTCGCACATGTGCTATTCTTCTCCACTTCCCACATGGTCATAAACAAAGCAGGGTGAAATGGAAAATCAGCTTCTAACATTGTGAGGTCCTGAGTGTTGCAATCAGAGTCAAACGTTCTCCCCCTGCTGAATATCACACATCAACGCTGAGTCACTGCTCCGTCTCCCCCTGTAAATATTAAGACCCAGGCAAAAACGGAAGTCGCTTTTGTCACCTACAATACGAGAGACTACTAACTAAGCAAGCCAAAATGATTTATTTGGGAAATATACAAATGATTTAAAGTGGACCTATCATGCTATATTTGAATAATATAGTGTAGGACCATACCTATATAAGGCATATTTATACTTTTTTTTTCTTCAAAATACCAAACAAATCATGCATTTTAGCCATGCCTCATTTTGCTCAATTTGACATTTTTTAGCTCTGTTTTTGCAAGGGCAGATTATGTGAGAACAGCACCATCTACAGGCCTGGCATATGTACTACAGCGTCTCCAGCGCTTTCGAACGGCAATGGCCGTGGCTGTCTCCTCCTGATTGGTGGAGTTGGCCCAATAGCCGTAGCGCCAGACAGTGTTCAAATCTGGATCAGTTTTTATCAGATCCGTTGCAGCCCCTTTTTTAGAGATTTGGGTATGGAGGAAAATAGAGAGGGTTGTGTTTTCTGACACTTGGTGAGTTCCCTGGAACACCGGGGACACATATTCATGTATAAAAGACGTACAAAAGTGCATTTTGCATGATAGGTCCCCTTTAAGTTAGCAAAATGGCCTTGTTAGTGCACTTTTGTTCATTTATGTCAACACATTAATAATACTCATGCTACTTCAGGTCCACACAACATTCAGTGTATCTACACCTTCCATATAAACAGTGGGTAAGAGAGAATTACCCAGCTTTAGAGGTTCAAAACATATCTCAGACTCAGGAAGTGTCATCATCTTATTCAGCTTCTGAATGATTTAGTTTACAAAACTGTCAAACTGTGTCTCGAGTATTCCTATCCATCCTAACAGTCTGTTCATCCCAAACCCAGAGCAATTTTAAATGCTTGATTTGGTCAATTTGAATATTATTTACCTTGTTGTTATATTTACATAAACAGTGGTGGAATGTAACTAGTTCTTCTTTCTGTGCAACTTTATATTTCTACTCCACTCATAAAAGATATTGTACGTTTTCTTACACTTCATTTACTTTGAAGCTTTATTAACTTGTTCCTTATAGATTCAGATTTGTACATACACAACACATAACCACAATGAAGCACTATGATGTTTTTGTATGTAGATTAAAATAAGTCGGAAGACAAAAAAGTATAGTAAGTAAAAGTATGTTTTTGCATAAGAAACATTTCACAGTTCCAGCTTCTGATATGTCAAGATTTTTTTCCCTTAAATATTTCAATTTAAAAAACATAACATTTTTTTCTAGATTTTTGTCAACACAGCAGCATGTCTCTCTCAATGACTTTTAAACATCTGTCTCTCTTCAACACAGAATACCATAATATATTTATTATTACATCAAATGTAAATGTTATAATTGTATACAGCCAAACCGAACAACTATACTCTGTTAACAATTTAAAAACAAATGTGAATATTTTAACATTCGCACTGACTGTGTGTCATCACATAGGTCAGCTATATATTGGTTGTCTATATCTGAAACACAGCACAGGTAGTACAGCTGTTTTGAATAAGACATTAGTCATGCAGTTGAGACGTTTGTATGTCTTAATTACTTTAATGTGAAATCTAAGCTTAACCTCATATCACACTATCATGCTATCTTTTTGGACACCAGTAGCATAAGTGCAGAAGATGATGAAACACTGAAATATGAATACAACAGTAGTATTCCATCTGTATGCTCCTATCCTCCTGGATTCTGACTGCAGTAACACAGATGAAAGCAGCAGGACAACACAGTGTGCTGCTCGCAGACTGACACACACAGGATGGATGGAGCAGAGAGAACACACACCGGAGAAAAAGAGTGTCTCCAGTCTGTAAAATATATATATTTTATCGCAGTGGTTTTGCTTATTTGTTTCCCCTCCGTGTTTTTGCACCCACTGCATTGGCTCATTCTCATTCTGTTCAGATCCTGCTTGCAGCCAGCAGAGGAAGCTGATCTGGAGCCAGTTCACTCCTGCGGAGCCACATGTTGTGCTTCATGATGTGAATAGAAAGACACAATGTATGGAGACAATGCCTTACAGCAGGAGGGGGGGGGGGGGGGCGCAACATCATAAACTGCCTCTAGATCTGCGATGCAACACAAGCTCTTATTGATAAGGCAGGCTGACATCATCTCCAATCAAATCAATGCAAGAAAAACCCAGAGCTTGTTCAATCGACAGAAATAATGCGTTATAATTATATATGTACCTTAAGGATGGACTGCTGCTGGGGGCTACAGGCAGTCTGCTGCATTCCTCCACACTGTCTGCCTCAGTGACAGGACTCACAGTAACGTTTCTCTCAGACTCTAACAGACCTCAGGAGTTCTCCGCAGCTTTTGGAAACTTGCCTGTATTCCTCGGATCCTGTTGCAGCTCGTTCATAGTTGGAGCTCAGAACATCCCGATCCTGTGGGGTGAACGGTCTCCAGGCTGTGCGGCACCCTGATGGTGGCACCCCGGCCGACACATCATCTCCTCACACCCCTCAGGACTGAATGAAAAAGACCTTTGTGAGGACAGGAGCCCAGCAGATACCGCCGCTCTGCAGCTTCATAGGAGCAGCTCTGTGAGGCAGACTGATGGACCTCCCCTTTACAATACACTGGGCTTTTCAAAATAAAAGCCGCACAAAGACTAACGTGACATGCACTGAATGTCTCCGTTTCCGGACGAGTCAGAAATGAACCGCGGTGAAGTTGGTTTTAGGTTGGATATTCGACGGACATTCGCGGACCAGCCAGCAGCGTCAGTTTCCCCTGCTGCTGGCTGTATTATATGGAAAGCCTAATGTGCCATAATACGCATACATAGTTTAGCGCGAAAATACGGGGAGGTCCGTATATTCGCGCGAAACTACGCACGAATATACGGACCTCCCCGTATATTCGCGCGATTAATATGATAATGAGCCCCTCCTTCTGATTTCCTTAGCCAATGAGTTCAAAGTGTCTTCAACCAATCAGTGAGGGGTAAAGCCAGACCAAAGCAATCTGTCGATGAAAAGTTCCTGACATTGTGAGGCTGTGCTGTAAATTGTACATTATTCCAGATTCAGGGGACTAAGTATTAATTTGCCTTTGAATATAATAAATATATCACCTTCATTGTCTTTAAAATAAAATCACATTAACCCTCTGGAGTGTGAAGTGAAGGGTATTTTCTCAATTTTTAGATGTCTCCTTAAATCAACTTTTAAATGTACTTCTTATAACATGGCATGGTGTTACATGTCAAAATGTTCAGTAGTCTCTGGTCTTGCTAGAAATGCAAAGTCACTCACCTTAGAGCACCGTCTTATGAGATACTAAGCTTAGAAATCTGATTTTTGGAAAACTTCAAAACTGTTGTGAAACAATGACTCATGTCATCCTTTTTTTTTGGTGTTTCAGATTTGGTTCACCAAAGTCTTTGGTTCACAAAAGTAGTGAAATCTATGAATTACACTATAGGCCTATATAAATGTTATTCATGTCTAAAATGAAAATGTGTAAATTAGAATTTGGAGTAAGTAAAATAGTTCTATCACTCTACTTTCACCACAGAAAAGTTACATCAGGACTGATTCATGACTTCATATTCCATACTGAGGTTCATGTGATGTGTACAAATACAAATTGAGCATTACAACTTTTTTTTTCAACCAACTATTTATGTTAACATAAGAAACTGTAAAATTTCAATATTTACAATATCAGAACTTTCTCAACCAACTATTCATTATACATGTAAAGACAGGGGGAGCAGTGTCATGGTCTTTGTCCGTCTTCCAAGACAGTGGGGCTGGCTGCTGTGTAGGTGGGGGTGATGGTGCATGGGCTGCTGGTGGCTGTGTCGGAGGGAGGTAGGTGGGATTGTCCCGGGTTGATGCTGGTGGCTGTGTGGGAGGTACGTGTGCTGGCGAGACTTCTTTGCTGGCTGGGTTGATCGTGATGGCTGTGGTGGAGGCCTTTGTACCGAGGTGTATCTTAATCTTGTGGCAGGCACAGATGGAGGTGGAGGCTGCTGTAGTGATGCTGGTCCTCTGGTCCTTGGTGGTGATGGCTGTGGTGGAGGTCTTTGAACCACGGTAGATCTTGACCTGGGGGCCGGCACAGATGAAGGTTCTGGCTGCTGGATAAACGTCGCCTGTGGGCCACTAGGCCCAGGCAGCTGTGAAATCTGAAAAAAACATACCTTTACATTTAGCAAATCGAAATAACTGTATGACGTATTTGTCTCTAATAAAAAAATGGAAATAAATTCACATGCCATATTATGACTTTAATGGAGGATTAAAGCCTTCTTAATTTACAGTATATAATACAGTGATAACACACACAACCCAGTTGACTGTACTCCCTTTAACCTGGCTCTGTTGTACACTGATAGGCACAATATTAGCATAGCATTAGCGCTATTAGCATTGCAATACTATGAACAATTATGAACTCAGACCAGCATTTCACATATTTATACAAGCAGAATACACTTGAAATGTAAGCCAAACTAGTGCACGGGAGTCATACACCTAGTAACATAGTGGTTTTAGCCCTACATTATTCAGTGGGCGATAGCCTGTGCTAAAGAAGCTAGCGGACGCCATTAGCCACTGTAGTGGAGCCGAACTAGCTCACAGAATGACATTAAACTACACATAAAGAACAGTTTCAAACACACTTCTTAGATCGAAATATGACATAATCTTTGTAAACACTACTAACCTGTTGAACAGGAGATATGAATGAAGCAGAGGGAACGTTGCTGCCTTTCTAGCCAGAATGCCAAGTCTGAGGCAGACACATAATAACAACACTTACTTTACGGCGCACTGAGGCCTTTCCGTGTCCTATACTGCCCTCTGCTGTTTGTAATGATATATACTGTTTAACATAAACATGCCTTGGAGAGTATAACTTAATTTATACAAGACAATATACATTGAAAATGTAACCACATATTTATGCGGTTATCTGAATCATATTTCTACCCCTTATATTCGAAAATATATGATTAAATACGTAAAATATGCGCACTTCGACACTGCACTTTGTGGGTGGACTCCAGAGTTATATCTTTCAAACTAAATCTATCCACTATCTGCTTGTCTATGTTAAAAAGCCTCAGTCACCTTAATTCATGTAATAAAAACATCTCAACACCAACAGTCAGTCTGTCGAATTTTAGGTTCACCAGAGATTACATGTCAATTGAGGCATCTCTGATGTACACACACTCTATGGTTCTCTCACACATCACCTACTGTTTAACGACCTGGTCACATGCCAGTACAACAACATTAAAACCACTGGAGTCATTGTACAAACAAACACTCAAAATACTGGCCTTAACATAAACGGCCTTACCTCACCTCCTCTTAGACAGTTTATTAACATACGCACAACTGCAACTAGGGTAACAAGAGGTGCAGAGAGAGGAGATTGCATTATTCCACTCAGAAAAAGTTATTTCAGTAAGTCTTCATTTTCTGTTAAAGCTGCTCAGCAATGGAACTCAATCCCATCTCCAATCAGAGACCAGTCCACATTCACTTTATTTAAATCAAAACTCAAAATATGGTTAGTGAGGAATCAGCTCTGCCAACACTGACCAAATCTTCTGCTCCTTACAACCCACTGCCTGTGTTTTAACATGTTCTTTTGTTTTGTTTTATTTGTTTTGTTTTAATGTTCTGTATTTTAAATTGTTTTATTTAAGTATCCCAGTAATGTATGTTGCATGTTTTAAATGTATTGTATTTACTTGTTTAAAATGAAATGTGTTTTAGATTGACTTTTAAAATCTGTCCAGGGACTACAGATGAAAAATAGCCTCTTGGCTAACTCTGGCACATTTACAGAAATGTTCATTAATGTGCACTGTCCCTGTTAAATAAATGAATAAATAAATAAAAACACCATTGCCACCGGTCATTCCAGTGCCAGTGGTCACTCCAGGGTCGGCGGCCACACCTGATGAACCCACCAGGGCAGTTTCCTCAGAGCGAGAGGAACATTTTTATCTTTATTTTATCTTTTTATAGCTCGTCCTGGTTTCCGCAGCAGATAGGCCTATGGTGTCAGTTATGTCAGTTATGTCAGTTGTTTTAAATAAAACGATGAAAACTGAACTTGAAAATTGTTTCCTCTTTTTATTTTATTTATTAGTTTCGGGACGGGGAGACGTGTGTGATTAAAAATTCATTCGCAGAAATGTAAAGTGATCTAACTAAGTTCTATTCATATTCTTGACGGGAAGAGCAGTGTAAATGGGTGGCCTATATGCATTTGAAAAGCAATATAAATCACACAGTTAGTATTGTTCAAGAGAGGAAGAAAATGGAACAATGTATTTTATTATATAAAGCTTAAATATGCTAGAAACTGTGTTAAAACTCTGAATGCCATAGACATGTATCGTATAGTTTAATGCTTTAGCAATATAAACAGGGTGTATAACATAAATCCTTACATGGGTGCTCATAAAGACCCGTGATGCAAAGTACGCACTTCCTCTTTCGAGGACTTGAACTCTCTATGCACTTCCCTTTTCGAGGAGAACATCTGTTATGTATTTCCTCGCTGGAAGTGAACAGTTAAACACAACAACGAAGAAGGACACCTCTAAACGCGCCAGCTTGCACAAAAAGCATGTGACAAACCACGTGTCAGACCATGTGACAAACCGCGGGAAAAAAGAGGATAAAAGAAGACTGAAAAACACTGGAGGGCAGTTCCTCTTCGAACCCAGCTTTGAACTTGAACTCTCCAGCTTGTTTAGCAAGCAACGGAAGACGATCGTATTACTTACTCGTATTGAGGCAAAGATCTCGGATATAATATGTATCTGGGCAAAACGCATTTCATTTTTTATTGATGTGTGGTGTTGTAACTTGTGAAACTTTAATAAAACTACCTGTTCACATTTGTGATAGGAAACTAAAGTCCATGTAGCCCTTCTGATTATTGTTGAATAGGTGACAATTCAGACGGCACTGTAAACCTGTTCCCACAATAGCTTGAGTCCTGAGTCCAGTCTGATTCCAGTGTCCTGTTCCTTGGCTGAGGATCAATCCCTGACGGAGTCTTGCAGAGACACCAGAGAGAACAACAGGTAAGTCGCACCTAAGCTAACTCTGTTGCTGGATTCTATGTCATATTGGAGGTCGCCACGATCGGTTGATCTTAAATACGGCAGCAGTGCTTTACGGGTATTGAATCCCAAGGTTTCAGGGGTGTGTTCATTAAGCTCTGTGTTTAAAGTCTAAAGGGAAAAACTAACAGGGTAAAAGTTGAAATGATGTGCAAAAACTGATGAATGGAGGTAGTATAGAAAGAAGGGAGTTTGTCGGTACCTCGTGGTGGTGTGTGGGTCACACCTTTTATGCCCGGTCTGAGTAAAAACCGCAACCTTTTAACAGTATACAATAGGCTTTAAAAGCACCATCGATAACCATTGCCCTTCTCCAATTCAAACCAAAAGAGAACATTTATAACTAGTTTAGGTAGTTTGAGAGGTAATTAAAATAGCTAAGGGTGATGATCTGACTTGAAGTGTGTGTTTTGCTCCTCCTGTTGCATCACCATTCTGTAATTAAATGTTTGATAAGTGCATGCAGATCACAGTACAGTAAAACATGTACACAGATACATTATTTTGTATTTTTATTAAATTTGACAATGTCAATTTCACTTTCCACTATGTACAGGAATCTTGGGTCAGTCTTGTCTGGGTCAGAGAAAATGCAGATATTACACTCAGAAAAGAAATGGTAGACATATCAGTACTCTTAGTGCCAAGTTGTCTCAGACAATCTGCATTTCCTAATGTGGGACACTGAAAAGTCTATGTTAAAAAGCCTCAGTCACCTTAATTCATGTAATAAAAACATCTCAGGTCAGTAACACTGAAAGCTAAATGTGCAATACCATGTTCAGCTATGTTACTATTTATAATGTTATTGTTGTTACAACAGAAGATGTTTTTCTTTATATTGAAGTTAAATGCATCAATCTGGTGCACTTTGAGGGCAAAATTAAGAGATTTATGGATACCGCTGGAAAAAGCTGCAGTACATATGCCGAGCCTGTACGTAGCGCTGTAACTTCCTCCACAAAAGCAGCCTTCTGTTTATTCAACAGCCTCATCTCAATACCCCTCCTCGACTCCTCCTTTCCCTCACTCGCGTCCCTTCCTTGCGTCTTAGCTCCGCCTCCGTAAGATGCGAGCGAGAGACACGAGGAGGTGACGCGAGGACAGAGGAGTCCTCAGGTATTAATTGGGATGTCCTCGTTCACTCAAACGTCACTCTTAAACGACGTCTGTTAATGATGACATGTGCACAGCTGTATCCCCTCTCATTGGGTTTAACTGAATAACCCCTTAGAACCGGCCCATTTATTGTTAAATATGTATTTAAATGATGAATCTTTCTCTTTTTAGTCAAGGAATTCAATGTATGATGGTTGGTCCTGCTTTTGTGTTCCGTTTTGGTGTAAAATGTACATTTCAATAAAATTATAATTATAATAATGTGAAAGCCTTTACTCTGAAAATGTGTGTCCTGTAGATCCCCACATTTACCACAAACCCACATTCAGGACTGTGAATTTTAAATAATTTAACTCCTGAATATCTTAACACAAAACAAAACAAATAATTTGTATTTATCAAGATCTAGCCATTTATGAAATAGCTTTCTTAATAGCTATGTTTTAGTGACGTTCAAGATCATTAAACATGACTTAAATTGTTAGTATAACCTTAAGAAATGAATTGCACATAATAATTCCCATGGAGCTGTGAGCACTTATACATTTATGTGACGCTTTTCCACTCATTCTTCCAGTTCTCCGTTTTCCTGTGTTGAAATCGACCAGCTGTGAAGGTGGGGGCGGGGCTTTTATACGCGAGTAGTGAAAACACTTCCGCGTAGTCTGCTCTCGTGTATCCTCCCTACCCCTCCTCCCTCACCCCTCCTCGACTCCTCCGTGTGCATTTCAGCTATTGGGACGTCCTTCAAAATGGCGTGTCTTGATCGATTTCCGGGTCAAGTCCCGGAGGAGGGGAAGAGAGGAGTCGAGGAGGGGTATTGGGATGAGGCTAACGTCAACCGCCAATAAACACCAAAGAAGAAGAACAATAAGAACATGTGTTCGAACCGGAAGCTAAACAAATGGGCGGGGCAGTTTAAGGTAAGACATACGGATGGCAGTATCATCGAAAAAGAAGCAGATTCAGAAGCAGATTCAGAAGCAGATTCAGAAGCAGAAGCCGGAAAAATGTCCACGAGAAACTTCATCTTGCGTTGCAAAAGGACAATAAATGACTGCACAAGACTTCTCCAAACAGATGATGCCGGTCATGCTGTGTTACAATCCACAGTAACGAGGTACCATGGTGTAATGGTTAGCACTCTGGACTCTGAATCCAGCGATCCTAGTTCAAATCTCGGTGGAACCTTTCTTTGAGTACCCTGAAAAAAGCCAGCTTCTACATCTCAGGAGGATCTTGTAGCAGGATAGTGGTTGCAATATAGAAGATGAAGAGTGACTTGAGAATAAGTCTATCTAGTCAAGTCAAGGGAATAATCTGAGTGGCGTTAGGACAACAACCTGGTCCTTAACACCTCTAAAACCAAGGAGTTGACGATTGACTGCAGGAGAACAAAGAAGGAAGTCCACCATATGTATGGAGAAGTGGAAGGTGTGGAGAACTTCAAGTTTCTTGAAGTCAATATGTCTTGAGAGACGTGAGGTGGCTGATATCTGTCAACAGACTTGCGGTCAGAGCTGTGGTCTCATGGAGCTGTTATGTCAAAACTAAAACATGCCCCATGATTAACTGTGAGGAAGACGAGACCTTACAGCACCTCCTCATGGACTGCTACAGAGCCGAGGAGGTGTGGTCGCTCCTGCGGGGCATCGGTTTAGTATTCAATGTAAGATATGCCTCAATTATGTTTTGTATTCTAGATGAGGGGATGGGCATAAAGCAGAGAGAACTTTTTCAGATGATAATTTGTATCGCATGTATGAAAATGTGGAAAACAAGGTGTAAAATGATACTGAACCAGACAGTAATCGGCAGTAACACCATAGTGAAACAGATACTTACTGAACTAAGGAGAAAAAAGATCCTGGACAAATCCCAGACTCTGCCATGGGGCATCTTGAGTCTGTGACCTAACTGAGCCTCATAAGTAAAACGTGCTCTCCTTATGTTATTTATATATTTATACTTAGTGTGATGTGTGTATTATTGATGTAACTTGTATATAATGTACTGCCCTAATAATTTAAAATAAAGTTTAAAAAAAAAAAAAAAAAAGTAACGAGGTAAGGGCCAAGCCTATCACTACTACCAGTACCAACACAAAGGAATGTAGTTTGTTTTTGCATGTAACCTAAACTGAGGTTGTGTGAGATCTTTCACACTTACAAATTCTGTCTTCTCCCTTATTTCATCAAACCGTTTACTGGCAGGTTAGAAACCATGGAAAGGAGCCTCGAGTGGTCACGGGGCAGGCTAATTAACGTCCCTACAGCTGATATTTTACTTCAGGACCTTCGGGAATATATACTTGAAGTCCGGAGATCTTGGCCTACCACACCCGCACAACAAGGTCGGTCGATGTGATAATTGTTCACTTTAGCATAGGCTTTCGTTGATAAACCAGTGCTAGTATTGTTGAGTACTAAGTGGCCAACAAGCCAATACATTTCAAAGTAATTATTTGTTTGAAATATTGGTAATACCAATATAAAAACCTTTTTAATCTGTAGTTGCCAGCTATTAATTAGAACATTCTGGTGAGACGCTCTGAGTCTCGAGTTGTCCTCTTAAAACTGTACTCCAAATTCCAACTTTATATCCTGCCACAGTAGAGGAGACGCTATTCCCCCTCCCCCATCGAGGGCAGTCTGGCCATCTGTAGTACACACCACGTATCATCAAACGTGTGAATGAGGACATTGAAAGGGTGCCAGAGGGGGAGTCTCTGTCTTCAGGGTTGTGTTAGAAATTAAAATCAATGTTTAATAGCATAATTTAGTCTAAAACATATCGTCAGTTTAAAAGCTGTTTCATTGTGAAAAAACCCGGAAGTTCTCAGGAAATCTCAATGCCAAGCTTTTATTCTGAAAATCCTTCATATCCGGTTAGTAGTTAGCAGTTAGCATGTGGCTAATAATAATACGTTTTCTGAATGTAAAGTGAAAATGACATGGAGTGTTGCACACCAAAACCTACGGACTTTAACACTACATCTATAGACGTCGAGATATTATTACTGCTTTATATTAAATGAAGGTACAGTTGATCGTAAAGTGTTTTCACATACGTGAGTAGCTATGACGTCAGAGGGAGTTACCGTAAATGAGAACTGTGCCGTAAAAGTGTTTCTAGGATTTCTAAACTAACTATTACAGCTGTTTATAAAGTATTAAATAAAAAGTCATGAAAGAGATAAGGAGGAGAAAAGGCTTAAGGAAGTAAGCAAGGAATACAAAATGTCGAAATCCTGTTTCACGCGATGTCGAACATTGAAAACGAGGAGGGCGGTCCCCCTATCTGCACAGCGGGAGAGAACGAGAAAAGTATAAAAGAGATCGGAAAGGACAACCCGCTCTCTTAACTTCGCTGCAGCCTCCCGAGGGACAACACCGGCTTTTGTCTCTTCCTTACCTTATGCTTGTTCTTTAACCACGTTACTTAATTAAAGTACCAATTTGAACCTTTTCAGAGACTCCATTAGTCTCATTATTTTAAGTTTCTTTCCTGGGAGCGAGAAGATCACGATTCATCAATAGTTGGAAGACATGGACTGCAACTATGTATCTCTATGCCCATACACATGCTATGCTTTTGTTCTTACTGTATACTACAACTATAGTGTATTGCATGTCCACTGGTTTAATGCCAAACTGCATTTTTTTTTTTTTTAAAGTATCTGTAGGCTGGGCAATGACAATAAAATAGACGCATTGTGTGAGTTTCTGGCACAACGGCATAAATGCGTTGCTTTTACAACAATGACAATACATGTAATCTAATATTTTGCTGTTGTTGCAGGTCATTCTGGCTACCACGCCCCACTCATTTTGTTGGGTGGTCGAGGTCCCCCACAATTCAGCATTTCGAGAGAGCAACTCTCTTTTTTGAGGAGCTGTGGTTTTACAGCAACAAAGATGGCACAGATATTAAAAGTATCTCTGCGCACAGTGAGACGGCGATTGAGGTATGTAGCAATGTCTTCAACATTGGGAGTGCCATCTTGTCTCAATTTATTGTAAACATCCCATGGAGGGGTTGTAGCCATGTTACAATATGCATGTTGTAAAGTAAATACCGTAGGTCTCATATATTTAAAACATGTTTATTTTTCAGGCAGTTCCACATGCTGGGACATACTCCACCATCTCAGATGCTGCACTAGACAACCTCATCAAGGAGATAGTGGCTGGGAATAACCAGATTGGCCCCGAATCTGTCAGGGCACAGCTGCAGGCCCAGCAGATGTGGATACAGAGACGCAGAGTGCGGGACAGCATGAGGCGGATAGACCCAGAAGCAGCTGCACTACGAGCAATGTCACAGAGACTGCACCGTAGAGCATACCGGGTCGCCGGACCTAACTCCTTGTGGCACCTAGATGGAAACCACAAATTAATAAGGTAAATATGACCAATACCAGACTTGAAAGATGGATACTTTCTATCAATAGGCCACAAAACCCAAACTCCTGCTTCAGTTTATGTATTGTGCATCAAACTAGTTATACTTTTCATGTTTTTGTTTCAGGTGGAGGATTGTCATTCATGGGGGTATAGATGGGTATAGCCGCCTGGTCGTCTTCCTCCGGGCCTCAGACAACAACAGGAGCAGTACCGTGATGGCGAGCTTCATGGACGCGGTGGCCAAGTATGGTGTGCCCTCGAGGGTCAGAACCGACCATGGAGGCGAAAACAACTCTGTCTGCCTAATGATGAACATCTTCAGAGGCTCTCACAGAGGCAGTGCTCTCCGTGGAAGAAGCACTCACAACCAGAGAATAGAACGGCTCTGGGGTGACCTGTGGCGAGGTGTGAGCAATGTCTATTACGACCTCTTCAACTTCCTGGAGAGTGAAGGCATAATAGACATAGACAATGAAATGCACATGTGGGCCCTGCATTATGTCTATCTCCCGCGCATAAACCATGACCTACGGGTTTTTTTGGACCAGTGGAACAATCATGGGTTGAGGACCGAAAGACACCAGAGTCCCATACAACTTTTTGTCCAAGGTTGCCTGGAACGGCAGGGCCAGACCACTTCTGCCATGCAGAGCCTCTTTGGTGGAGGACAAGGAGATGCTCAGGAGGAGCCAGAAAGAGAGGGTGGAGCTGATGCAGGGGATGTTGCTCAGGAGGAGCCAGAAAGAGAGGGTGGAGCTGATGCAGGGGATGTTGCATTGGACTGGCCAGAGAGGGTCACCGTACCTCGAAACCAGCACCTGCTAAGCGATGAGGACATGGAGCAACTCACCGCACAGTTTGATCCTCTTGCTGGTCGTAGAGGAGATCTTGGACTGGACATCATCCGAAATATACTGTCATTCATGGCAACATTGAATGTTGTCTGATTTTGTCACGGACATGACACATATTTCACAGCGGCTGTTCTTTGCCCTTTGAACTCACACTAATTGCCTTAAAACTACTACTTTGCACAATTTTCTAGTGTGCAGTATGTCTATCCTATGTTTTTATGTTGTAGTAGTTTGTGTTTGTATAAATATATATATATATATATGAGTGAATTTTAGTTAAATAAATTACTTTGTTTAAACAATTGTTATATCTCTCACAGGCTCCGCCCTCTACTGGACTCTATGGGTACTACTCTCTATCATGCTGTGCGTGCTTTCACCTACTGAATTTACGTAAACGTAGCCGGCCAATCGGGGCGAGCCTACCTGAATGCGCGCGCAGGCCCACAGTATATAAGGCGGCTCCAGCCGCCGCCCCACTATCATTTTTCTCTTCAGACGAGCTGACAACCGAAGAGTTAAATAAACGTACGAAGATTAGAAGAAACGAAAAATGGACTCACCATTACTGGAATCTCGGCCATGCCCCACCTGCCTTGGTTTGATCGCGGGCACCGATCTCCACCACCTCTGTAGAGTGTTTGGGGGACCAGGATATGGCCGAGGCGGTGCCATTCACGTTTGCCATTCCAGCGGGGCGGATGGCTCCGTTTGCCGTTGTCAGGCACTTCCGGGTTCGGTCCATGGAGGTCCACCGCCCTAGGTGATGACCATGGCGGCGGAGCGCAGCTGCTCCCAGCGGGCAGCAGGCTGGGCAGGGAGCTGAAAAGAGCTCTGCTACGCTACCGCGTGACAGGGCGACTGCAGATAAACACGGGTGTGTTGGGCATCTCGCTCATTGCTGGAGATGCCCCCACCTCGCCAGATCAGCGCGATTATTTGTAGCTTGATCATGGCCGCCGTGTGGTATCCCGGTGAGGGATCACGCCGCATGACACTTTTCAAAAAGGACCGTGTTGATCTCCTGGGAGCCCCCGTGTTTACGGAAGGGCTCTTTGGATCGGAAAAGAACACTGTCCCACACTCCCCGCCCCCTCTGTAAACTCCAGTATAGGAGCCAGCAGGTGGGCGCGTGCACGTGAGTGGAATAAACCGTAGTGCTGTCAAAGCACTGTGCGGGTTCAAGAGAGTGATGTGTGTGTGAGAAATGCAGTCAGTGAAAACGATTGCATTTATCCCAGATAAGGGAATGCTCTGGTTTTTGGACAAAATTAACATGGGATCACTCCCGTCACCGGACGTACTTCGTCTCACTGGAATAGTAACGGTCATAGTGAATATAAAATCGTCCCCATGTATCCGGCCAATGACGGGAGAGTTTTGAAAGAGACAAAACACTGTTCCATACATTTAAAAACACTTAAACAATTAAACAATGTTTACCTGCCAACAAGCAGCAGTGTGCTGTCATTTCAAACATGTTACCCCACTGTTTAACACAGTTTTACCTGTGTTTTGAAGACTCTTTCCTGGGTCAATGTGTCCTCTTTCTCCCCCCCCTGGGTGTGTGTGAGACAAGTCAAGTGAGTCAGCCTGCCAACCAGCAGCAGTGTGCTGTCATTTCAAACATGTTACCCCACTGTTTAACACAGTTTTACCTGTGTTTTGAAGACTCTTTCCTGGGTCAATGTGTCCTCTTTCTCCCCCCCTGGGTGTGTGTGAGACAAGTCAAGTGAGTCAGGCTGCCAACAAGCAGCAGTGTGCTGTCATTTCAAACATGTTACCCCACTGTTTAACACAGTTTTACCTGTGTTTTGAAGACTCTTTCCTGGGTCAATGTGTCCTCTTTCTCCCCCCCTGGGTGTGTGTGAGACAAGTCAAGTGAGTCAGGCTGCCAACAAGCAGCAGTGTGCTGTCATTTCAAACATGTTACCCCACTGTTTAACACAGTTTTACCTGTGTTTTGAAGACTCTTTCCTGGGTCATTGTGTGCTCACCAGGGGCACGAGAATACCCTCCACAGAAGGGGTCGTGGTTCCGTGAAGAAGGCCGAATTTGGGTGCTCATAGGCAGCCTGCTGCAGAGTCATTTTCAGGCTCCTCTCCACAATTGTCCCCCTAAAATGATTTAAAATCATTATTTTTGCATTTAAATGCATTTATTCTATCATTTATATGGTTCCCCAACACAATGCACATAGTCTGGAGCTCACTGGGGTCCTGCATATAATTTAATCAGGCGTTTTAACACTTTTTCCCATGAAAATGATTTTTAATCACTATCATGGGGCTATGAAAATAAAATTCCGGGTAATGCAGAGCACAAGTGCACCTTTTACTATTTAAATGTATTTGTATTATATATATTTGGGCTAGAAAGGTGACCTCTCTGGGTGATTTAGTCAGTTTATGGAGCTTAGCCCACAAATCCTGGATGATCCAGGCCGAATTTGGGTGCTCATAGGCGGCCTGCCAGGCGCCCCCACCCGTGGAAAGCAAAAAAAATTGAAGAAAACGCTTAATTATAACTTAAAATAATCAAAAATGAAGTTTTGAAAAATTGTCAAAAAAATGACAGAGTGCCAACGGGAGAAGGGGCCAGACTATTGGCGCTTCAGGCCGATTTTTCCCCTTCTCCGATGGTTGGTACAACGGAGAAGGGGAAAAAGTCCCTGGGCTTCATTTCCACTTCTCTGTTAAAAAGATTCATCCATACTTTTCAAACTACCGTCTGCACGAAATCGGAAACCCAGTTTTTGGGTGCACTCAGAAAAATAACGGCTGTTGCAAATCATGGAAGAATGTATCCGCTCACCAAGCACTTTGAGTGGGCCTAATTTTGTGGCGCAAGGACCCCCCCAGCCTGGTTCTCTCAATACTTAAAGTTTGACATGGAGGAATGCGAGGGCACTTTGCAGGTGACTCTACCCGATTATGAGACACTATTTTGGGACGTATTTTTTACATTTCTCTGGTTCTCCAAATAGTTTAAGTTCGACATTTTGAGCCATGGAGGAATGCGAGGGCACTTTGCAGGTGACTCTACCCGATTTTGAGACACTATTTTGGGGCGTATTTTTTACATTTCTCTGGTTCTCCAAATAGTTTAAGTTCGACATTTTGAGCCATGGAGGAATGCGAGGGCACTTTCCAGGTGACTCTACCCGATTTTGAGGCACTATTTTGGGGTATAATTTTTACATTTTGACCCCTTTGCCCGGTTATCACCAAAGTTGAGTTGGATGATTTCGACCATGGAGGAATGTCAGGGGAGTCCGCGGGGGACTCCTGCGGGGTCATGAGGCACTATTTTGGGGTACAATTTTTACATTTTGACCCCTTTTCCCGGTTCTCACCAAAGTTGAGTTGGATGATTTCGACCATGGAGGAATGTCAGGGGAGTCCGCGGGGGACTCCTGCGGGGTCATGAGGCACTATTTTGGGGTACAATTTTTACATTTTGACCCCTTTTCCCGGTTCTCACCAAAGTTGAGTTGGATGATTTCGACCATGGAGGAATGTCAGGGGAGTCCGCGGGGGACTCCTGCGGGGTCATGAGGCACTATTTTCGGACACTTTTTTTCCCATTTTCCCCCCTTTTGCCTGGTTATTTTTATTTTTATTTTTTTTCCTGTTTTGGCCCGTTTGACCCGGTTCCTTCTGCCGGGGGCACTGCCCGGTCCCGGGTGCCCCCCCCAGGGCTCGCGTACAGCCGTTTCACCCCCCACATTGACGGATTTTGACCCCTTTGCCCGGTTCTCACCAAAGTTGAGTGTGATGATTGCTGAGTCATGATGCACTATTTTGGGGTACATTTCCCCCATTATCAACACGGACTAGAGATGTCTCGGAGATGGCTCGGAGCCCACACCCTGGTTCTATGTAACCCTGGAGGAATGTCACATGAGTCGACAGGGGACTGCTGCTGGCTAATGAAGGACTATTTTGGGGTACATTTCCCCCATTATCAACACGGACTAGAGATGTCTCGGAGATGGCTTCGGAGCCCACACCCTGGTTCTATGTAACCCTGGAGGAATGTCACATGAGTCGACAGGGGACTGCTGCTGGCTAATGAAGGACTATTTTGGGGTACATTTCCCCCATTATCAACACGGACTAGAGATGTCTCGGAGATGGCTCGGAGCCCACACCCTGGTTCTATGTAACCCTGGAGGAATGTCACATGAGTCGACAGGGGACTGCTGCTGGCTAATGAAGGACTATTTTGGGGTACTTTTTTTTCATTTTCACCCAAATTTCCCTGGATGAAATATTTTTTAGTTTTTTTTAGTTTTTAGCCCAGTTTTGGCCACAGCGTTGCCTGGAGGATAGGACCGAGATATGACAGACTCTCTGGCCGCCTCACAAGTCACTATTGTCGGACACTTTCTTTGCTTTACCCCGGTTCTATCACTCTTTCCTCCTTTGACCATACAACCCGTTTCCTGCTGGGGTGGTGCCTGGTTCCGGGGTACCCCAAACCCTCTCATGGTCGGGGCACCATGTATTGATGCATCGGACCCAATGTTGCCATCACCAGCCCCGCGTTGGTGCGGAAGTGGGACCATCTGACCCGGTGGTAACCCAATACTTCCCTTCGTCCATGCACCATGAATTGATGCATCGGACCCAGTGTCGCAACCACCGCTCACGCTAACGCATATAAACGGAGAACTATAACATAATTTTGATCAAATCATTATGTGTGTTTCAGGAAGGATGTCATCTGAATGCCCGGTGTGCAGACTCTTCTATCTGGCATTGAACAAACACCTTAAGCACAAGCATGCAGTGCGGAACTTGGAGGAGAGGGGAATCCTCCTGAAAATAGCCAGTGGAAGGATAAATGTTCGGACCAAACCCTGTCCCATCGCTGGGTGTTCGTACGCTGGGAAGAGACTGGACCGTCATGTAAAACATGACCACCCTGAGTTGTCCCGACATAAGGCACATCAGGTCATGGCAAGGCTGAAGCATAGTGTGGCACTGCAGTTGCTCCATGACCTCCGTGAGACTAACCCCATCATTGGAATGGCTACATCATTGGATATAGACAATGAGGAGGAATACCCCGGGCACCCTCCACCCTTCTCCCCACATACCGAGTGTGACAACGAGGACTGCAGGCAGGTGATGCTGGAAAATGTGGCATTGAGGGCTCAGAAGGATGCCCTCAATGATGAGGTGAAGACCCTGCGCTCCAGGCTGAAAAAGGAGCTAAAACC